GCATTAAATTGGTAGACAAGAGAAAAAAAAAAACTTCTTTATGGTCGTTTTCAACAGAAAAACAGAGCAGCTCTTGAAGCGGCAGTCATTGGTGGCTTTTGGTTGTCAATCAAAGATGGGGGCGGTATCAGTTGACAAATGAGACTTCCAGTAAGTCCTCCTCACATGCTGTACAACAGAATCAACAGGCTGGGGACAGCAGACAGAACATCACCACGACCGGACAACATAAACAAAGCAGCGCTCCAGCAGATCCGTCCCTGCAGCTCAACTTTGCCCCTCTAGAAAGAGCAGAGAGGGGCAGACTTTTCCAAAGTGTTTTAAAGCTTTTCACCGCTTTGGGATGGGACTTCCAGGGAGGAATAGGAGCCTTTTACGCTGAGACTTGTCTTGAGTTTCTCAACATTTCAGAGACCAATTATTGACTTTACGCAGGAGGCGTGAGACTTCTATGACATTGTAAGAAACCCCTTCATCTGTCGGCACCATGGCGGAAGCGGCCCAGCAGCCACACCTGGTGGAGATCGACCCGGATTTCGAACCCCTTTCGCGGCCGCGGTCGTGCACTTGGCCCCTGCCCCGGCCGGAGTTCATCAACCCGGGAGACTCCAACACTTCTTCGCCGGTCCCGTCCGTGAAACAGGAGCCCGGGGTGGGCCCCGCAGAGTTTATCAACAACCTGAGTCTGCTGGAGGAGAACGAGGACTTCCCGGAGCAGAAGCCGGTCATCCTCTGCTGCGACTTTCAGTGCCAGAAGAACTGCGTCCACCAGCAGACTCAACATCACCAGCAGCAGCAGCAGCAGCAGCAGCAGCAGCAGGCGAACCCGCAACTCCCGCATCCACAGCAGCAGGTGCCTCTGCTCTCCACCCCGGTGGGCTCCTCACCTTCCGCGGCCGCAGCAGCTGCAGCCGCCGCGGCGCAGAGGAAGAGCAGCTCCTCTCGGCGGAACGCATGGGGGAATATGTCATATGCAGACCTCATTACCAAAGCTATAGAAAGTTCTCCAGAAAACAGACTAACTCTGTCTCAGATTTATGACTGGATGGTGAAGAGTGTGCCTTACTTCAAGGACAAGGGAGACAGCAACAGCTCTGCAGGCTGGAAGGTAGGTCTGACTTTATTAACCGAGTCATTAATAAAAATGCACTGATCATGTTTTGTTTTTTTCTGGTTGACACCGATTTTTTTGATTAGATTCATTTATGACGAGTTACAGTCTGATGATGGAAAAATATTTTTGATTAATTTACTTTTTATTTATCAGGATGCAAAAGGGAATTCTATGTAAACATTTTATAGTGATAAAACAGAATAAGAGTTTTAACCCCTTATCTATCTCTATGGATAGATCAAACAATATCAACAATTAGAGTCAATTTTCACAATGTATTTAAAAAGCTGACAAAAAACAAGGATTAGTTGCACTATTTTTAAAGACTTATTAAGCATTTACAGAAGATGATTAGGGCCACTGAAAAAAGAAAAAAGTTGATTGATTCTTAAATTTTATTTCAGTTTAGTATGGAGAAAAAAGTCAGAATTCTGACTTTAATCTCAGAATTCTGACTTTAATCTCAGAATTCTGACTTTTTTTTAATCAGAATTCTAAGATCTAAGATATTTATCAGGATGCCAAAAAGGAATTCTCCTTGGCTTTTTCCCAAAATTTCCGACCTCTGTTTTGTGCAAACCTATATATTGGTCCTTATTATGCTTGTTTTTATTGATTAATGTGAATCTGATTTTGTTCTGCATAAAAAAAAAAGGAAAATACGTTTGTGACAAATCGTGTATTCTGAATCATTTTCGTTCTGCTAAATATGGTGTGATTTTTACTCTTTTGGAACACATAAAATACAAAAAATAAAAGATGCAAGATAGAAATACGGAGGAAATAGTTTTGTAACAGGGATAGACACACTTAATCTGTATTTATGCACCACAGTAAGCTGTAGTTTGATGCATTTATATACTGAAACTGTTGTGAGATCTTTGGAACAATCCATTGCTAGTCAAGAAAAGAAAAATGTCACTTCTAATTTCTTGCCTATTTATCTGCACATCTCCAAGTTGTCCTATAAGGAATCTTTGCTGCTTGTGCATGATAAAGCCACTGTCTGTGCCAGTTCCAGTGCAAAGCTATCCACTGGGGAGTTTTGGTGTGTCTGTGGTATTTCACAGTGGGTTTTTAGGGACTTCATTGTGTTTTATGCTGTTTTTATCTCATGTGGTATCTCTGTAATATCCTCTCTAGGGAGATTTGGTTTCTGTGGTGTTTAATGGGCCAGGGAGTTTATTGCAATGCCTTTTTGTCAGGGTTGTTTACTTTTATAGCCCTATTGTGTTTTCACTGTTAACGGGATCTTATAGTTTAGTCTTTATTTTCACAAGCTATTCATCAATCAGGATTTCCCTTGTTAATCAGATCTGATTTCTTGATTCCATTTTCTTTAAGACTTGCACAAAAAAAAAAAAAAAAAAACATAGTTTGATACAAATATATGCATTTTTTTTTTCTGACCTGTCAATCAAACAATAGAGCGAAAAATTATCTCTGGCTGATTGCTATACATCTCTATTTTTACATTATAATTAAGTGTCTCCTTAAAATTCTCTAACATTTACTGAAAAAGCATGCAAACACTTTGAAATGGCAGCTAAAGTTTTAAATTATATACTTCTTGCAGCCAGTTAATGGTAATTTTACACAACTGTCGGCTTTTGATATCACCTTAGACGGTCATCTGACTTCCTACTGCAGAATGTGACTTATGTGAGTCTCCTGATTCAACAGGATTTTTTTTAAAGCTTGCCATATTGATCTTTTAAACATAGTAATCATATAATACTTGAGTGCTGACGGTATACTTGAGAAGTTTCTCTTCTGTGTTTTCTTTTCCTTTTGAAAATGTTATAGATTTTCAGGCTGAATGGGTTTTCCACATTAGACCGTGGAACTCAAATCCAGCTAAGTTTAAGCGCCTGTGTTGAAAGGAGACACCAGAGCTGATCATGTGTCCTAGAAACTTTCCCAAAACATTACACAAGAGTGGACTCAGAATTTCTGATGTGGTGTGAAAGAACACCCGCCTACCGAGGACTATTGGAGGGCGTAAACCTTTCTGTTATTTACTTTTTTTTTTGGGAGACACATAGTTTCAGCGGTGTCTGACAATAAATTAATGACAGTCTGCTCCCCCGGCAGGAAATCATAGTAAGCCTCACACTGAACGATTTATTACGGCTGCCCTCTGCTGTAAGCTTTCTGGTTTGCTGTTAAAGTTTCAAGCAGTTTTAAAGCATTATTTCTTTGTGATTAAATTGTATGGGCTTGCCATATTTGACTCCTGCTGAATTTTGACATGTTTTCAAAAATATTGCAAAGAATTTCCTTATGGTATATCTTGAACAGATGTAAACATCATTGATTTACTTGCATTTTGAGCATACTTGATGCAGTTTTTATTTCATTATTTTTTACAGAAACTTCTCTATATTCATCTATTTGACCTCAGTGTTTTTTGAAAAAAAAAAAAAAAGTTTAAAACTCACGTTGAGCTATCAGCTGTTTTCCCATCAGTGGAAAAACCCCTCCATTGTAGGAATACATTCAGTAAACATAGCCGTTAGTGGACAGATGTGTTGCTAGGGGGTTGATATTGTTCATGTAGATTTGTGCCTGAATACATTTGACCATCGCTTATTCAGCAGGTGCATATATGTGCTCTAAAACATCAACACTTGCCTATGAGATTCATTTTTCACTATTTGTTATGCTTTTAGTACGAGATTTGATTTCCTTCCAAATAATGAGCATGCAATAAGCTCTAAATGTACTTTGAGTTTGTGTGCTCCTGTCACTGTGTTTTTAACCTTTGGAGGGAGGACATTTTTACAAACTGAGGATATTTTGGATGGTAAACTTAGGTTTAGGGCTAAGGTTTGAATTGGGCTAGGGTGGGGTATGTATTGGTAATGGTTATGTTTAGGGTTATTATCAGGGTTACGGCATAGAAAGGGTAGAAAATGACTAAAAGAAATCCATGGATGTCAACTTATGGTCCTCACAAACTATAGTGAAACGAGAAGTGTGTACATGTGTGTGTTAACTATGAGCTATGAGTCATTGTATAGTGGATGACGCGTAACACAAATAATACCTATCAATTACTGCAATAAATATAGCAAATAAACATTCATTTGGCAGGTTGATATTTGATCAACCTGATCTTGTCGAACATAGCAAAACAGAAAGGAAATACGTTAAACTAGAATCGTGTATTTGGTTGACAAAGTGCATGGCTGTTGAACCCACACAGACCAGTTTCCATCCAAAAAGCTACTTCCTTATAGTGTTAATGCAATTAAAATGTATTACATTCACGACAGATGAAAAACTTTTAATTTTTTTTTATTATTCAATGACCATTTCAACCACTGTCAGTAGAAGGTATGAGGTTCTTACTATAGATGTACAATTTAGGATGATTTGCACATACTTGTGAAACAAAAAACCTTGTAAAAGATTTGGAAACTGAAAAAGAAGATATCAGCCAGTGCCACTTTTGCTAATCTAGTCGAACATATTATACATTTAACATAAATAGGTCTTTAAAATGCATGCATTATGTTGATTTGAATATACAGGCTTAGGTCAAAATAAATGAATAGACGACCTAGAGATCATTCGATACATGTATTTTAAGGCTTATGTGATATGTGCTGCCAATAATTTTGGGTTGAAGCATTTATTAACATATCAAAGAAAACATAAACAATGGATAGCAATGGAAGGGAGCAGCAATGCATATGATATACATTATATTATATTATCTTGTTAATTTGTTATGCTATCTGTTCTGGTTGGGGCCTGGAGTCAGATGGTTAGAAGAAAGATTTGCCTTAATAAAGGTAATTGATTTTGCCCCTTTAGCTTCTATTCCATGACTGTTCTTGTTTTTTATGACCAGGAATATGTCCAAACAGCGGAACTTCAAAACGTTCTATCAGCATGCGCTTATGATACACTTTTTTCACCATGTATGGGCTGATAGCAAGAGATCTGATTTCCTTACAAAGAATGAGCATGCATCATGCTTCAGATGCACTTTGAGTTTGTGTGCTCCGGTCTTTGCATCAAACTGACGCACCATTCTTCCCAATTCAACATAAAAAAGTTCAAGACTAGCCATTGTAAAGTGAAAACATTTGGCTGGTCCTCATGGACTATTTTATTTATGGTTAGGTTAAGGGCTAGAGTGTAAAAGGGATGTAGTTTAGGGTGAGGTATACATAGGTAATGGTTAGGCTTAGGGCTAAAGTACGACTAGTCAAACAAGAATTGTGCATGTGGGTGTACTTGTATATGTTACCCATTTAGGACTGTATTTGGTATATTTGCTGACCTTCTGATGATCAACTGACCTTATGGGGACCAAAGGCTGGCCCTAATGTGGCAGCTCCCCATTTTTTAGAGTAGGGGTGTGAATAGAACTTTAGGTTAAGGTTAGAAATATACTGATAATGTTAGGGTTAGGGTAAATATCAGGGTTAGGCTTAAATGCAGTAGCTAAAGTTAATGTAAGTCAATGTAGAGTATCAATACGATCAGAAATACATACCTGTGTGTGTGTGTGTGTAGGGGGACCAATTCCGTAAATCTTAGCACATTATGGGTACAGAGTGCTCTAGTGGCGACCAATGTCTGGTGTTATGTTTAGGACCGAGGTGTGAATTGAGTTTAGGTTAGGATTATAGCTAGGTATGAACCCGTAATGGTTAGGGTTATGGTAAGGGTTACGGTTAGCCTCTAGAAATTGGTTAGAAAAATGAATGGGTTAGGGTTAGAGTTAGGGATAGGGTCACGGTTACACAGTAGAACTGGGTTAGATATGAATGGAAGCCAATTGAAAATCCCCATGAGGATAGAGAAATATATAAAGTGTGTGTGTGTGTATGTGTGTGTTAAGTACAGTGTGAGCTAAGATGTGAGTCACTGAATAGTGGATTATGTGTAATCCAAATAATTCTTGGTAATTACTGCAATAAATGTTGCAAATAGGCATTCATTTGGGATATTAATATTTGATCCAGGTTATGATTTTC